ATGTGACCGCCAGATGGAGACAGGGCGCCGCCGTGACTCCGTTCACGGAAAGAGTAAGAGTTTTAACGTTTTCGTCTCAAAGATTAAAAGTCTGTTGTTTTTTCAGTGGCTTTAATCTACTTCCGTATTACGTAAAAAAATAAAACGCTCTGTCACTGGGTGAACAGAAGTGACACATAAATGGTTAATTTCAAGTTTTTAACTATTTTTTTAAAGTCTAACAAACAGATTTCAGTTGAATCTGATGAACATTTTGACCCAGTATTATTCAGCTACTGTTGTTTTTTATTGTAAATAAATATACTGTAAGTAAAGTACGACATGATCTGTATTGACATGGAATCATAATTTGATCTGCTGTCAGACTCCATGCAGTTTTCTTTCTTTCAGTATTAGCCACTTAAATCCTAAGTATTACAATAAACCAGGAGAAAATCCCGACCTGTGAAAATTAAAATTTTATATGAAACAGATAAAAAGCAAACAATAAAATGTGCTGCATCTGTATCTGTCTGCTCTGATTGGTAATATTGTCACCAAAGTATGAGTATTAGGTTGATACTGGCATGGTAAAATCAATAGTTTTTTTCCATTTTGTTTGATTTTTGTTTTGTAGTTTTTTTTAAATCTACCACAAAAATGTTTTGTTCCTATTTGCTCTCAGTGACATTTTTCTTTGCACTTTATTTAGGAAAAAAGCCCATAAATCATATTATTAAAGTATTATTTGCAGACATCAATAAGTTTATTCAGATTTTGTTCAAGGTTTGAAGGAAATAATTCAAAGGAAAAAACACAGAACAGCTAAAAGTCAGAAGTTTGATAATATGTCAAATTTAAATAAAAAGGATCAATAGAAATGAACTTTCATCTGCAATTTACTGCAAAATTACAAAGTATTTTTGTTTCAATATCTGAATTCAAAGGAATAAGATAAAACTAAATTAAAAGAACTTGTTTTAATTCCTTAATAATGATTTTAAAAGTTTCATTTCCACATTCAGTTCCTGACCCACTGGTCTGGTACTGCCCAGCCAGCACGCATGAGTGGGCCCCACTTGTGTTTGATGTGGGCTACATGGGTAATGAGTGGGCATGGGTTTTATCTGGGCGAACTGCATGGGACACATATGGTTTACCTAAAATGAGACCCATATGGGCTGGCCCATATGGGCTAAATGCATGGGCCCTATTCAGCAACTAGGTGGGCTATCTGGGAATGGGATAGTACTGGGCAACACTATATGGGGCCCATGTGGTTTCAGTATCATGGGCCCAACATGGGAAGCCCATGTGGGCTGACCACATTGAACCCACATGACATCAGCATGGGCTGACCATATATGGGTTAGACCTGGGTGTGGATATGTGGGCCCCAGTCCTTTTTTAAGTGGGCTATCTGGGAATGGGATAGTACTGGGCAACAGTATGTGGGGCCCATCTGGTTCTAGTATCATGGGCCCAACATGGGAAGCCCATGTGGGCTGACCACATTGAACCCACATGACATCAGCATGGGCTCATGTCATGGGCCCAACATGGGAGACCATGTGGTCAGCGTGGGTTCAGTGTGGTCAGTACATATCCACGCCCAGGTTGGACCTGGGTGTGGATATGTAGACCCCAGTCCTTTTTTAAGTGGGCTAAATGAGACAAAATTGTAGAACAATGTACAGGGGTTGGACAATGAAACTGAAACACCTCTCATTTTAGTGTGGAAGGTTTCATGCCTGAATTGGACTAGCCTGGTGGCCAATCTTCATGAATTGCACATTGCAACAGTAAGAGCAGAGTGTGAAGGTCCAATTAGCAGGGTAAGAGCACAGTTTTGCTCAAAATATTGCAATGCACATAACATTATTTGGGACATACTGGAGTTCAAAAGAGGGCAAATTGTTCACCAAGACAGCAAGTCTTTGTGATTATCAAGAGCCACAGTATCCAGGGTAATGTCAGCATACCACCAAGAATGACGAACCACATCTAACAGGATTAACTGTGGATGCAAGATGAAGCTGTCTTAAAGAGATGTTTGGGTGCTAACCTGGATTGTATCCCAAAAACATAAAACCACGGTGCCCAAATCACGGTAGAATTAAATGTGCACCTCAACTCTCCTGTTTCCACCAAAACTGTCCGTCGGGAGCTCCACATGGTCAATATACACAGCCGGGCTGCTATAGCCAAACTTTGGTCACTCGTATCAATGCCAAACGTCGGTTTCAATGGTGCAAGGAGCGAAAATCTTGTGCTGTGGACAATGTGAAACATGTATTGTTCTCTGATGAGTCTACCTTTACTGTTTTCCCCACATCCGGGAGAGTTACGGTGTGGAGAAGCCCCAAAGATGCATTCCAGCCAGAGTGTTGTATGCCAGAGTGAAGCATGGGGGTGGATCATTGATGGTGTGGGCTGCCATATCATGGCATTCCCTTGGCCCCATACTTGTCCAAGACGAATTGATGCTGTATTGGCCTCAAAAGGAGGCCCTACACCACGCTAATAAGTTATTGTGGTCTAAAACCAGGTGTTTCAGTTTCATTGTCCAACCCCTGTAGTTAACCTGTCACTTTCAAAATTTTGACTGTATGTCAAAGCAAAAGCTGCAAGAGCAAGATTCTCAAAACTTGGAAAGAATTACCCGAGATGTCAGCTTTATAGTCTTTGCCAAGGCAATTGTTACTCAGCTGGCCTCTAATGGAGTTGATGTAAGGTAAATTGTAGAATTTAATTTTTCCTTGTAGGAAACCTCGACGATAGTAAAGGTTGGTGACCTTGACCATTGTCGAGGTCTCCAGGACGAAGGTGACCTCGTCTTAGAGATCACCCAAGGATATATTTTGCTGATAGAACAGAACATCCATGTCTTCCTAATGTTTGAACCTAAAACATGTTCACTGTGTGATATCTATGCCTGGCTCATTTACAAACACTAGGCTTCCAGAGGACCAGGATATTAAAACATTAAAAATAATTCTACAATGCTTTATTTTTTTAAACCAGTTCAGTATTGCTCTAGCCACACTTTGAACCCTTAACATTTTTTCATGTTATTATTTTATGCTAGAACAGTCCAGTCCAGTCTCCAAGCCAGTACGCATGAGTGGGCCCCCCTTGGGTTTGTAGTAGGCCATATGGGTAATGAGTGGTCATGGGTTTTATCTGGGCAAACCTCATGGGACACATATGGTTAACTAAAATGGGACCCCTATGGGCTGGCCCATTTGGGCTAAATGGCCCTATTCAGCAACAATGTGGGCTAACTGGAAATGGGACAGAAATGGGCAACACTATTTGGGGCCCATGTGGTTTCAGTATCATGGGCCCCACATGAGAAGCCCAATGTGGGCTGTCCACATTAAACTAACATGACATGAGCATGGGCTAACCATACATGGGTTGGACCTGGGCAGGAAAATGTAGCCCCTAGTACTTTTTTTCATGGTCTAAATGGGACAAAATTGTAGAACATTTTAATCGACAATGTGGTTACCCTGTCACTTTCAAACTTTTCACTGTATGTCAAAGCAAAAGCCAGTTCAGTATTGCTCTTGCTACACTTTGAACCCTAACTTTTTTTTCATTTTATTATTGCAGTCTGAATGTCTTAAAACATTTTTTAGAAATAATCTGTTTGAAATATATACGTAAACTCATATTCTGGTGCTTACTCAAAATTAAGCACAGAGTGGTCATGGTTGAGCTTTAGTCCTTGTTTTATTTTTAATAATAATAACTTTTTATTTTATTTTTATTATTATTTTTATCAATTGGATGTTTAGACATCCATAGAGTTTACTGCAGCCTGTTCGCAGCAAGATTTAAATTTTATTTAAATAGTTCAGATCAGACCATTGTGAAAAATATCACAATGTTTAGAAAATAAACAAAACTCATTAGCAAGTGAGAGACAAGAGTAAAATTTTGAGCATCTGTTTTTTCATATATTTGCAAACATTTTCCAAGTCATCAGTATAAATAAAAATAAAAAATAAAAAAAACGTAACATTCTGTTAATGATTTATGGTTCCAATTACCTTTTTGTTCATTGTTTGCTCTGAGGCACCGTTGCCAATAAAGGTTGGTGAATTGAAGTACCGGTAGGCACTTTACACATCCACTGAAGAAAATAGTTCCAAAACAATTTGAATAAGGAGGACAACGAAATGTATTTATTTACATTGAGAACTTTTGCTACATCGGTTTTACATTTGTTAAACCGATGTAGCACTCTCAAAAATTAATCTTGTGTTTCTTGGAAAACGTAAAATGACCCGCGGATGGATATGCGGTTTCAAAATCAAGCCTGTTCTCTTCATCAGTCCGTTGGCGCGGAGTCTGCCTGTTGGCTGATCTACGAAAGAATCTGTAAGTACATTCTTCTGTTTTACCTAGTACCAAATTTTAGGGAGAGATTTTAAATCGCTTGTTAAAAAAATTGTTGCTCGTAACAAATCGGACGACAGTATCCCAAAAGAGACTTAATTGTTATTGTTATTTTTGCTTTTCTTTAGGGTGATACTTTTTCTGATATTGCTAAACACACAGCTACACACAATAAGCAGATTTTAGTGCAGACCGATTTCAAACGCAGCGTTGTGGGCCAAACCATTTTCAAATACCGCCGCCATTCTATTTGTTGAGCTGCCATTGGTTCATTTGAGCGCCAACGAGGCAGAATGAAATCGGTTCACTGAATCTATTTGCTAGCAGAGGTTGTTACAAAGTGTCTGGACACAATAAAACCATTTGTATGATTTAAAAAGAGTAACTATTGTGCTTTCATTCTATGTACTTGGGCTTTTAATAATCTTTCTCACAGTCACATCAGCATGCATGGGTGGGTCTCATGTATGGATTCAGGCTGGTTTGGCTGGGACCCATGCAAGATTATTATTGTCGTTTTTTTCAATAAAACTGCATTGAATCGTTTAGCTTTGGGCTATATAGGTAATGATAAGAGGGCATGGGTTTTATCTGGGCCAAACTGCGTGAGGCTCAAAAGGTTAACCGAAATGGGACTCATATTGTTGGCTCAATTGGGTTAAATGTATGGGCCCAATTCAGCATTAACGTGGGCTAACCGGGCATGGGACAGAAATGGGAACACTATATGGGGCCCATGTGGTTTCAGTATATTGGGCCTAAAAGGTTTTTTGTAAATAGGATGAAGGCATTGTAGTTCATATTTTTAAATTCTTTTTTTAATTGTTGTGTGACACTTTAAAGCGTTTTGTTATGTCATAGTTTATTTCAATCTGCCGCTATTGTGTTGGTCTAGAGTAGTCATCAGTGTCAGGGTTCCTGTGTGTGTATGTGAGTGTCGCATCTTATTTCAGCGAGGATCTTTGTGAGGAGCCCGTGGAGCTTGGCACAGGTGGAGGAGCAGCAGAATCTTCAGTCTACGCTAGATTGACTGAAGATTCTACTGGTGTATGCTAGATGGTTGCATACACCGGTAGTCACTCTGGCCTCTCCTGTTGTGAACAGTTTTCTGAGAACGTTTCTGTGTCTACTAGAAGTCACCTGGTCTCTGTGTTTGTTCGATCCTAGGGGTTTTGTCGCCTCATTCGAGAACTCACCAGTGAATACCTGCCTGCTCGCTCCGCCGATTCCACTGCCTCCACTCCACCCTTCGAGCTTCCAGCTCTCTTCCATTCCCACCTCGCATTTACCTTCGGAACCGCTGCACACCCTCTCTCAGGAACCTGGCATCTCACACCCACGCCTCGAAAGACCCGCACCGAAGTAAGCCTGTTCCTGTTTCCCCTCTGATCACTCATTCTAAGCCCGTCATAACTAAGTTCTCGTTTCAGGCCAACCTGGTCGAGTGGTCCTCACCCTTCCGCTGATGTCCGGGAAATAGATTTTATTTTGTCCTGTTGTAAATAAATCACTCACTCATCCCTATCCAACGTGTGGTTACTGCATGTGGGTCCGTAAATTGAAACCCATCATGTCAATCAGTGGCCAAGCCTGAAACAAATATTGAAAGATGAAGAAATTCTTTTTGATATTTTTGCAATATTTAGCTAGCAGTTATGTGAAATGTACTTATATTTAATTGTAGCTCTAATTTTTTTATATGTGCAATGTTTTAGGCTTTATTAGTTACATTTATAGTGATTTTCTAAACTTCTCTTAAGAGTAATACTACTGTCTTAGTCCTGTCACGTTAACAAAGAAATTAGGATAATTGCAAAACTGTTCAGTGTTTACAATATAAGGCTTCAGTAGTTAATCTATACAAAGGCTGTTTTGCCTTAATTTTTTTATTTTTTTGAAAAGTCTAAATGTTATATTGCACTAATAAAATATATTTTTGCAGGCTTCAAGAGGATCAGCGTGTGAAGATCACTTTATAATGATTTGAAAAAGGTAGATTAATATGTTAGTGAAATTAAGCACATAAGAGTGATATAATAAACTGATGAACAAAAACAAAATGTTGTCCTGTTATTGTCATTGTACTTAAGGTTGCCATGGCTGCAGAAATTGGAGGAGCATCCTTAGATGACACAATACAACCAGCTGTGCGATTCCTCATGTCCCATGAACTGGAAGTCCAGTTCAACCTTTTTGGCCAACATTGGAAACAAGCTCTTGGACCTGCGTCTCTTTGATGGTAAATATCAGTTTTTATTGTCAGAGTAACTTTTTTTTTTCACTTTTCTTTCTTAAACATATGTTAATTTATTTTGGTTGTTTGTTATTTTTAGTAATGTTTTTAGGTTAAAAATTGAGTCTTCAATTTTTGGTTTTATTTGAACAGTATTCTTTCACTGTTGTTAAGAACTTAAAAATTTGAAGGTAATATTGTTTGCATTTCAAACAATATTAAAATAACCACAAAACCACGATAGAACCTAGTAGTTGATTTATATAGATGGATATATTTTAAATTTACAGTAAGAATATAGTTTCTGTACATAATAATGATGACTCAAGAGTCCTTTTGATTATGGCATATCTCTGCAAGCATTTTTGCCCCATGAAGGGGGAGATGCAAATCTCATGAATGTTACATTGTGCTAAAATGAAACACTAATACAATTTCTACCTTTGCTTGTTATTTCAGGGGACTTAAAAGAAATTATCCATCTACAGAATCACACAAGCATACAGCAAAGACTCTCGAAGTGGTTTACTGGAGCCCGAGTGGAAGTGGAAATAGACTAGAGAGACGGCCAGTTCAAACTCAGGTTGGGGAGGTCTTTCAAGATGGACAGTTTCAGTAAAGTATGAGAGATTTCAAATTTAAGCATGCATATGGCATGTAGGTTATTTTTAAAAATGTTTAACAAAAATGTATTGTGAAAGATCTATATAGGTGTGTATATTCACATTGTGTGTATCAATGTGAATATACGTGTATAAAGTTATATAGATAGTATTTAGATGTATACATTTATAGACCTGTAGGAAAATATGTAGGTGTCTTTATGTGTGTGCATCTATAGATATATATTTATAGATCTGTTTATAAGTTTGTTATAGTAA